AAACCTAAACCCGGAAAAAGGTTCCTCCGACTCCACCATGAACTTTTCTTTTTTTCTTTTTTTCGTCTTTCTTTTTTTCTTCCCACAGTTCAATTTTCTCTTCATAGCCATCACCGACCAAACCAATGTGGTTATGCGACATACACCAGCTATCTCCTTCCCACATATTATCATGATTCTGTGAGAAAGCAAGTTACTGGTATACGGTAGTCGCAAAATCTTGTTTTAATTCTCCTGTTCCTGTTACTGTACCAGTACATCATCAATAAACATACAGACAGTGAAGGGAAAAAGATTCCATCCGTCTGTCTGTCTGTCTGTCTGTCAAGTCGCTGTTGAAGACGACGGATACACATTTTCTCTGCTTTCTGATTTCTATTTTCTCCATTATTCTCTTTAGGCTTCAAGCTCTGAACTTTACTGGCGAATTGGCTATGAGCTATTAGCCATTCGATATGAGTAAGAGATACAAGAACAGGAGATGTAAGAAGTTATGACTACCTATTTTCATTTTATTTCTTTTTTCTATGTTTATATATTTCTATTCTTCTCCAAGAGAACCTCCCAAGATATCTCTCACCTCCCATCACCTCACCCTCCCTCACCCCCATCCCTCAAACCCCCGTCTTCCACCTCGCTCGCTCATTCTCCACCCCAAGAATGAACTAGAGCTGGATGCGCCAATGACCTTCGGGTTTTTTTTGCGTACAAGACCAGAGCCGATTATTTGATTCATCCTTCCATGGATGAATCAAGTAAATCAACGACCTTTGAGTGCGAACTCTTCTCATGCCATATAGGAGATGTTTTGCAATTTGTAGTTGGTACATACTTTTGTTTGTTTATACATACCTTTGTGTTATTTTGGGGTTAAATTGTTGTTTGTGAGGGTTGGTGTTTGAAGATTTGGGTCAAAATGGCTTGCAGTTGGAGAGCGGAATACTAGGAAGGTAGGTGGTTGGAAATTAGATATTCATTGCTATTTATTCATTTGCTCATTATCTATTTGTGATATGCATCTCTCTTTGTACGTGATGTGATGAAAAGCTGCCCTATTTCTCTCAAATAAAGGCTTAAATGTAAAAAACCACCAGTCAAATCAACCGCAAATCGTCTACCACCATCACTATCACCATCACCGGAGCAATATTGTACTCCTCCATTCCTCCAATCCTTCCATACCTAATGCACCATCACATCACCGCAGCAATAATGTATTCCTCCGTTCCTCCATTTCTTTCTCCCCTCCATTCACAACTCCCCCCAAACCTAATGACTCCTTCCCTTCTTCTGGCTCTTACTCTTCGGCTTAAACCTCTTCCCTTCCCCACCAGCACCAGCACCACCACCACCCCTCCCCAACAACGCCCTCTTCAACTCCCCCTTCTTCACACCCCCACCCACCGGATTCGGTCCATTTAACGTAGTATTATACGTACTATTCGCCGGCAACACCTCAAACTGCAACGTCGCATTACCCTCTCTAAACGTACTCTTTGGGGTTCCCTTTGTCACATAACCAGCATTGGCATCAATAGCAATAGTACCAGTTTGAATATCCAATCTCCCAATTACCCGCGAGAAAATTTCAAGCGCGGCAAGAGGTTGGTAGAAGGGGACTTCGTGCCCGGATTCGTAGATGCGGGAGAAGGAGAAGAGTCCGGATTGTTTGACTTGTCCGTGGACGATGGAATCAGAAGTGCTGATGTTGGTGTAGCCTGCGAGGGAGAAATTGGTGGCGTTTACTTCGTTGGAGATTACTTCTCCGCCGAGCCAGTTGCAGCTGTGGAAATGTGTTAGTGGATGGAGGGTTGGGTTTGATGTTTGGGGTCATAAGCCTTACTTGTAATCGGCATCACCGGCCATCATGGCGACGTAGACACCTTGATTGAGTAATGTTCTCACGGCTTCGATAGTGCCAGACTCGCGACTGATATAGAATTAGTAACTTTTATCAAGTATAAGTTTTGGATTTTAACTTACTCATCATCACCAGTAGCGGTAAAAGCATTGTATACCGTGTTGGAACTACCAGTAAAGTTCTGATAGGCACCAATCGCAGCTTGTACCTTGGGCGTATTGAGATAGGATGTATAATGAGAATATGGGAAAGGATCTGGTGTCAATTCTCTCACATCATATTCATCTCTTCCCGAATAGATATCATAGACATTTTCCACGAGATCAGCACAGAAAGTATCTGCTGCTTCACAGACCTCATTGATACCTCTGGCCGCACAATCTTTGACTTGATCAACGCAATTTCCGGCACCATAGATATTGTTGTAGAATTCAGCTTGTACACTTGCGTTGAAGGGAGAATAGTCGTATGTGTTACCAGGCCAAACAGTGAAGTTGTAGTAAGCTTGATATTGGATCAATGGATCATACCAACCATTTCCAATAAGGACTGATTCGAGGGAAATCTGATGGGCACCAGAAATATTCTTGGCGTTTTGACTTTCGATATACTCATTGTAAATTGGACCATAGTGACCACCATAACTTTCGGTCGAGAAGTGAAATCCATTCCTGGAGTATTGAGGGAAAGCACCCATGAATCCTTGTAATGTTTTCCACTGTAATAGAATCAGTATCCTCTCAAGAAGAATCATAGAGAAAACCTACGAAGTTTGGAGCTCCAGCTTGGGTAGAATTGGCAGTAAGACTCTCATTCCCATAACTAAAAGTCCCACAACCATAACTCTCCGCATAATCTGGACAAGTAGCATTTGGCAACGTGACAATGTAACCCGAGTTAGGATCAACATATCCATTGACCGGAATCGAATACGAGAAACCGACCTGGCAGATATCAGTATCAATTCGAGCCTACAAATGACAAAAAACTACATGCCTGAGTTGGTTGATCAATGTAAATCATATTGCTGACATTATTCCAGCTATAAGGATTATTGATCACCTCTCCCTCCCCATTAATATAACACGGTCCATTCTCCTCAAATAAACCAATCATAGAAGATGAACCCGGTCCACCATTAATCCAGACGGTCAATGGAGCTTCAGATGCATTGCCATTTCGAGTTTCGAAGAACCACCTATAGTCAATGAATGAGTAAACGATCTGAGTGAAGTACAAACGAGGAAGAGAGCTTAGATGTAATCCAATAAACAACAGATGAAGAAAGAGAGGTCAAATGTATTCCAAAACAGATAAAAGAAGAACAATCCCTCCCTCTCCCACAAAACTCCTCTCCCCTCCTCACCCCTCCACCCTCCACCCTCTACCCAAAAATAAAAAAAATAAAAATCTCTCAAAACCCACCAAAAAATATGTTCCCCCTCCTCCACATCCACATAACCCGAATACGACTTAACACTCGGATCCAACTCACAAATACCTTCCGGAACCTGCTTGTATCTCACTGGTAAATCCAGGTATCCCGTTGTACTGGTTAGATCTGTGGGGGCTGGCACGAATTGAGCTGTGCTGAATGTGAGTGTGGCTGTGGATATTGTTGCTGCTAGGGCTAGGAGGGTTTTGAGAGACATGTTGATGAATGTGTATATAGGTAGTATAGTACTACTACTATAGTATAGTATATTATACCGGTACTCGATCGAGTATTGACGGATGAGTAAGTGAGTGAGTGAGTTAGCCTAACTTTTCCTCCCTTTCCTAACCTTCCTTTCCTTCCTCACTTTATCTTATCTCACTTTATCTCACCTTACCTTACTGAGAGAAGAGAATTCCGAATATTCCGGAGAGGTAGGTAGGTAGGTAGGTAGTAAGAAAGAAGAAGAAGAAAAAAACCCTTGAGGAAAGAAAAAAAGTACCCGAGTATATAATATATGTAGTGTATATAATCCGTCAAACAGCAATCGCAAATATGGATACTGAAAACTAATACCCCTACCTACCTTCCTTATCTAGGTAGGTAGGTAGTTACTCTATATCTACTCCATACCTACCTACCAATCTATTATACATATTATATTATAGAAGCGGGATTTTCAAATTTCTTACATCCAATTTACATCCAATTTACATCACCTCACCTCACCTAACCTCACCACTCACCACTCACCACTCACCAACTCACCTCATCAAATGCAGTTATCACCGGCGCATACCGGTACGTACCGGTGTAAGTCCCCAGTTCAAAGTTCCTATTCTTCTCCATTCTCCATAATTCATAACTCATTCTTCATTACTCATTAATCCATCCCATACGAGTACAAATTGATACAATCCAATCAGATCGTCAACATCCAAAAAAGGAAGGTACTGTACCAGTGACTGGTACTAGTCCCCTTTCCTTCGTCATTCATCGATACGATAAGGCAAGCAAGCAAGCGGCGTTACTTCCGAAGTTGGACCATTACACCCCATTACCGGCCACCCGTTTTTTTAACCTGCCTACCTGCAGTTAACGGGTACCGGTGAGTGATTTCATATGTGTACCTGAGAAGAATTATGTAGTTCACTACTACTTCTCGCCCGCCACAATTTCTTTTGAGGAAGATGGCAATAAAAGTAAATTCTCAAAAATGTGTGATCACCAAGCTACTTTCAAGTCTCTATTCTTCATATAAATGTTAGATTAATCTATCCATGTTGTTCCTGTTCCTGTAATACAATCGATAATGTCCGATTCCCATCCCAATTCCTATCCTCATCGCAATAAATACAATTTGCTTCCTTCATCCATCATTCATGCATGGTCTAATCTATGATATCTACTATCTATAGATCTATAGAGTATAACTACTCAACCATTTATTAAGGAAATTCAACGACGCCTCAGGTTGGTCCATTGGGACCATGTGTCCAGCACCAAAGATACGTGCGAATGTAAAGTTACCACTGCTCTTAAAGGTACCAGTCTTGTCACCATTCTCCAATTGAAGGTCCTTGGTCTTGGCATCATTGAATCCCTTTTGTCCAGGCCATTCAAGGGCTTCGGTCCAGGCTTGGTTTCCGAGCCAGTTGCAGATGAAATCGGCATCACCAGCATAGATCAAGACTGGGATTTGCTCAAGGATGCTGGGGACCAATCGGTGGAAAGGTTGCATCCAGTCACCTTGGAAAAGGAAGTTTCGGTTGATATCAAAATTACAGCTTTCATAACTGCTGACTTCAACACCTAGCTCTTTTTGAACATCGGCCTTGTTCAAGAACTCGCTAATCCAGCCAAGAGCAGAGTAGCACAAGTTGCTGCTGTCTTCACATTTGCTACGGATGTCATAAACGTTCTAGAGAGTATTAGCATATTGCATCGCAAGAGCGATTCAGTCAACATACCTGGCCAGTTTTTTGATAAGGTCCCATCATAGCGTTGTTGCAGTAGATGCTTGCGGGGACACAAGACCACACACTTTGGCTATCATAGCAGTTTTGGATCAAACTTTGGCAACGGGGAAGAGCGTTATCCATAGCTTGACATTCGCTGGAGTCGAGAACAGCTGGGTATCCACCCTTTCCACAAGCCATTGGTCTGTAGTGTTCGTATTGTGTAAGTCCATCGGTCAAACCGTTACCGATAAGGACGGACTTTAAGTTGATGTTGCGGTTCTTGTGAGATAAAATCTCGGATGTGAAGACTGGAATGTAGTGACCAGCATAAGATTCACCAGAAATGTGGAAGTCTTGTTTCGCATATTCAGGGAATTGCTTGAAGAACAAGGTGAGAAGAGCATAAACATCCTTGCCGGCAGCAATCGTGTTGCTGACAGATCCACCACTGTATGAGTATCCAACATTGACTGGTTGGTCAAGGAAGATAACGGAAGCATTGGCGTTCCAAGAGTATGGGTTGTTGTGTAGCTTGAGGTTCTTGTCGATAGAGGAAGGGCCAAGTTCGAGGAAAAGGCCGGTCAAGGAAGAGCATCCTGGTCCTCCGTTCAACCAAAGAACTACTGGGTCGTTCTTAGGATCATTTCTAGATTCAAAGAACCCTGACTTTTGATTAGCACATATGTTTAGAGTAGGTGAAGCGATGACAAGGAATAGCGGTGACGCAAGACCAGGAAATGTGCTGAATATCATCGAAAGATCGATTTTACTCACAGTAGAACAAGTGCTTGTCGTTCTCCTCATCGTCCAAGTAACCACTGTATTGCTTGACCGTATCAACACCAAGCTTCGTAGGATCAACCTTCTTAGCTCTCATGTTATAATTCTCAAGCTTTCCATCAATTTCACGCTCCTTCTCTCCCTTGGAATTCTCAACCCAAACACTCTGGATATCTGCGCCTTTGACAATATAATCCCAAGCAGTATCAGGTTTTCTTGTATGTGGTTTTGGTTGAGAGAAGAAAGTTGCCTTTTCCATCGCCTCAGGGAAAAGCATTGAGACTTCATCCCAGACAGCTTTGGCTTCAGAGGTCATATCTTTCATGGAACCCGCGAGATGACTCAAGGATTCCATTGATTTAGACCAAGCATCAGAGACCGGCTTTGCTGCTGATTGAAATGGGTTCTGAAGCACTTGTTGTTGAGGTGTAATGGATGCCGCAGCTACGCCCACAAGGACGGTTGATGTGAGGAGCTTCATGACGAGAAACAGATAATAGATGAAGAATAGAAGCTCTTATATGGTTGTACTTCTTCTTCTACTCGAGTATTTGATGATATGATATCAAAAAGAGATGATTGTTATGATTATGATAAAGAAAGGATGAAGATGATTGAGAGAAAGGAATACAGAGGACATAGAGTAGGTAGGGTAGGTAGGGTTTCAAAGGCGGTAACTGATGAGCAAGCAAGTTGACATTAGGGTAAGCAAGAGCTACCTAAGCTGCTGATGTGCTGCTCATGCTTTCATTATTACGTAGCATCATAGCACCCTGGGAATGAATTTGGAGCTTATCGGATATATTGAGGAAGAATGTCTTGTAATCACACGATCATGAATCAATCTCATCTATTCTATCATCTGATATTTGATTTAAAAGTTATCATATAATAGAGATGTTACCAATTCACGGTTGTTTGAGATCCTTGGGTATTATTGTGTTATTGATGTTTCCGGAGCTTATCCTTCAGTATCGAGCGAGAACCCAGCCTACGATTTCTTTCCCCTTGCACCACTGCTACCGCATAAGTCAATCCGACCAGGTACCCGCGATGAACAACACATGACTCGGGTCTCAGACTTTGGGTTCACCGATTATTCATTGAACCACCACCATTGACCATGATTTTGATAACCATTACCGGTTATGGTTATGGTTTTGGAGAAAGGCAAAAGGGAGCCAGCCATCAAGGGAGCCATCATAGGGAGCATCAACTCTTCGAGCGTAGCGAGCTATGGGGGTTTGGGGGAGGGCTGGCCCCCATCAATTAAATTCGAAATACCTGATGGAAGATAAAGGAGACTTTGGTAGAAATGTATTTCTCATCAAGACTCTTTATGATTCATTATGATTCATGATTAATTGAAGATATACTCGAGTACAAGTTATTGTAGGAGATTCCATTCATTCATCCCACTAAGATAAGAAGTACAGATAAGGAATGTCGGAGAATTTACCATGTAAGGCAAGCTTAAGCCGCAAGGAAAAGAAAATCTCCAAGATCATTAAGAGAAAAAATTATCAAGATTATAACATTGTACATCATACATCTCCCATACACACCACTAAAATCCCAAATCAACTCTCTAAAAACGTCAAAATGCCCCTCATCAATCAACCATCCAACCAAATAAAACTAACAAACGTCTCCCTCGTCCGCTACAAAAAAGCCAAAAAGCGTTTCGAAATCGCCTGCTACAAGAACAAAGTGCTAGAATGGCGATCCGGGAACGAAAAAGACATCGACAACGTTCTCCAAATCCCCAATATCTTCCTGAACGTCTCACGAGGCCAAACAGCACCAACCGCCGATCTCGCCAAGGCATTTGGAAAAGACACTCCAGTGCAAGCCATCATCCTCGAAATCCTATCCAAAGGGGAACTCCAGGTTGGAGAAAAAGAACGCCATGCACAGTCCGAACGCGTGCATAATGAAGTTATAAGTATCGTGGCTAGCAAATTGGTAGATCCCAAATCTAAGCGCGTATACACGACGGGCATGATTGAAAAGGCGTTGGAGATGCTTAGTTCGCAGGGTTCGCAGGCGCAGGATAAAGATAAGAATGCGGGGAGCGAGAGCGCGACGCCCACGACGGGAGAAGAGGGTGAGGCGAAACCTATACCTATAGCGAGAGCGAGGGAACATGCGTGGACGGGAGTAGTAGCGACAAAGAGCGCAAAGAGTCAGGCGTTGGAGGCTATGAAGGCACTAATAGCACACCAACCGATTCCAGTCGCAAGAGCAAGGATGAAGTTGCGTGTCACGCTACCGACGAAGATATTGAAACAGGTAGTTAAGACTCCAGGCCCAAAACCCGCGGGTGATGGGGAGGGAGAGGGAGAGGGAGAGGGAGAGGAGAAGGAGAAGGAGAAGGCGAAAGGCACAGTGAAAGATAGGGTCCTGGGATACGTAGAGCAGGTAGAGAGTCAAGATATAATGGGATCGGAGTGGGAGGTAGTGGGATTCGTGGAACCCGGTGCGTTCAAGGGGCTGGGGGATTTTATAAGTACGGAGACGAAGGGTCAGGGAAGGATCGAGGTGTTGGATATGGCTATTACACATGAGGATTGAAAGTCTATCTCAATCTTCCACCTCACTCACATTAGTTTTGAGATCGTTTAGCGGGTTAGAAAGGATTGGCGTTGAGGAGTATCAAAAGTAGTTTTTTATTTTACTATTTACTTATATATATATCCCGTGGGTGGGTGGGTAGGCTCACTTGTCACTTTAAAAATCTCTAGGAAGTTATGTAGCTCATGCATGTCATGGAAATATATGATAACATAATTTTGATGTAGTTTTCGGGTCTATGTATCACACGTACGTTGCCAAAGTATAGTTGGGAATTCTCTAGCTAAAAGGACTCTTGTTAAATACGAGTAGTCAATCCGTGGATCCCCTACAATTTGAAGAACTGGTATAAGTATTCCATCCATGAGTCTGGATTATGCTCATCAAACATCCTCCAATAATTCTTGCATGGGAACGAAAAGTGTATCTAACATGCGAAAAGGTGGTAGAAGATTTGATTTCCAGTATGTTCTCCATCGGTCTTTCCAAATTGACCTTCCTCGTCAAATGGGAGTTTATCACAATGCGAAAAGGGGTAGCGTGTAGGAAGTACGAATATCGCTGCGCAATGATCTTCCAGCGCAAATGCAAACAAACGCATAAGAAATATCCCGGCTTCTGGCGACGAATCGTAAACATATCACTGATTCAATATTGACACATACTTCTGTAAACACTCAAGATCATTGTGGGGCCATTGATGATTTATTGTTTCCTTTTCATGAACTGACTTCACTGGGGCATGCCCAGTAACAGCATCATGCTGTTGAGCCAGATGTAAATTACATGTACATCGCAAAAGCCACACTCCATCCAACCGTAAATCCCAGAGCAAAAATATTTAATTTCCCTTCTTCTTGGAAACACCGACGGTTCTACCTCTACGACCGGTAGTCTTGGAGTGTTGTCCACGGACACGGAGACCCCAGTAGTGACGGAGACCACGATGGGCGCGGATCTTCTTTAAGCGTTCCAAATCATCACGGAGCTTGGAGTCGACACCGTTGGCGAGAACTTGGGAGTCTTTGCCATCGACGATATCGCGTTGTCTGTTGAGGAACCAGGATGGGATCTTGTATTGGGTTGGGTTTTGGATGATGGTAACGATTCTCTCGAGCTCTTCGGAGGTAAGTTCACCAGCGCTGCAATTTATTAGTTCTTTGGTCCTTTTTTTCGTGCCCAGTATAGTCCATACCGCTTGTTGAGATCAACATCAGCCTTCTTGCAGACCAAATTGGAATAACGACGTCCCACTCCCTTTATCTTGGAGAGCGCGTACATCGTCTTCTGCTTTCCTTCGACATTGGTGTTCAGGATCTATGTTTTCATACCATTAGCAGGTACGCAGAGATGGTTATTGGTGGCTGAACTTACACGCAAGATATACTGAAAGTTATTTTTCTCTCCACTACAAAGAATGATCGGTCAGCAAGGCAAGAACTCAACTCAAGCGCAATCTCACTGGCGGTCACAAATGATCTTTAATTGAAATTCATGACTCCAATTTTTTGAGGGAAAACAGGAAAAGTAACATACGTGACCAACGACATCTTGGGCGATTATTTTTTGGAATTGTCGATGTTGTCGTGAAGCGTTTCGGGAGTCAAAAGGTTCAACGGACAAAAAGTTCGATAAATTTCGGTTGAGTTCAGGAAAGTGCAGTTCAATTTTAGCGTGTTTTCCAAATTTGGCTTAGTCAAGTCATGTGTTAGGGCAAGGACAACTATCAAGCGAGCCAAAACGGAACTCCAAAAATTTACAGCATCAAGATCATACCGAAATTTTCCGTACTAACGACCGCAGCAACCAAACGTCAAGATGGTATGTTTAATGTGTTTCCTATTGTTGATTTGGAGGGTGTACGATTATTTGGAATCAATTGCGACAAATTTATGTTGGAAATTGGATGTTTGGGAACTTGGATGTTGGGGGAAAGTCGACTGCAAGGAAATTCGGCGCCGTTGAGCCAGGTCTTTGGTTCCTCTGTCCTGGAGACTTCTGGTAGATGTCGCGGGTAATAGGGGATTGTTTGAAGCCGGAGATTCTCGTTGTACAATTGTTATTGGGAGTTTGTTCTAATCAGAATGTCCACAGGTCCGTTACGCAAACACTGAGGTCGAATTGGCCAAGAGCGCCAGATCTCGCGGTTCTTATCTCCGTGTGTCTTTCAAGAACACCAGAGAAACTGCCCAAGCTATTAACGTAAGTTTTAGTTTTCGCAGCCTTTACGATCCGGCAAATACTAATGTAACGTAGGGATGGAAGCTCCAGCGCGCCGTTAAGTTCCTCGAGAACGTTCAAGAACACAAAGAGGCTGTCCCAATGAGAAGATTCGCCGGAGGAACTGGACGTGCTGCTCAAGGTATGTTCGAATAATCATATCAGAAGGGATCTACAACAATGGGAAGCATAGGAGGCTGATAGGGATATCTCGATAGGAAAGCAATTCGGTGTCACCCGTGCTAGATGGCCAGTCAAGTCCGCCGAGTTCCTCCTCGGTCTCTTGAAGAACGCAGAGGCAAACGCCGATACCAAGGGTCTCGATACCGGAAACTTGGTCGTCAAGCACATCCAAGTTAACCAAGCACCAAAGCAACGTCGCCGAACTTACCGTGCTCACGGTCGTGTAAGTTCTATGTTCGAAGCCCACGAAACCCACAATACTAATACTTGATAGATCAACCCATACATGTCAAATCCTTGCCACATCGAATTGATCTTGACCGAAGGAGAGGAAGTTGTTCAGAAGTCGGAGGCTGTTGCTGGACGTGAGATCCCACACTTGTCTTCAAGACAACGTGGTGCTCGTGTCCGTCAAGCTATTACCGCTGCATAGATGTTCTCTTTTTATGGCTGGGTGGGGTTTAACGCGATGGGGTATTGATAGTAGCAAATTCATAATCGATTTGATCTATCTAAAAGCTCACGCTATGTGGTTCATGCGACAAGTCCATGATTATCCATTATATACTGTGAAAGTATTTTAAAGGAAAAGAATAAAATTTACCAGTCTCCCAGGGATTGTTTGAGATGCCTAGTGGTTTGAAGGGTGAGTATTGTATACCATTTCTTGCCTCACATACCTCTGTAGAATTAAAACCAGAGAATTACAGTGGTCTTTTCAGTTTGTTGAGGTTTTTAAAAAATCAAGAAAATTATCAACGTCCCAGCTTTCTAATTTTACAGCTTTCATTTCTCAACTTTCTCAACTTATCGACTTTCCAATCATGATTGAAATCATTATCAACACCAACATTATTACCATTGTCAAGTGCTGAGAATATTGATGATCGATACCGGTGGCAAGGGTAGCTGAGAGGATATGTGAAGGTGGCAAGGGTAGTAGTAGACAGGGTAGATGAGGATAGTGAGAGCATTAGAAACGATGTCAAGGTAAGCAGTGCGGATAGTAGGATAACAGAGAGTATAAGTAAAAGTACCTTGTAGGTAGTGATATACAATTCAATCACTATTCATCTAAATACAAACACAAATACAAATATAATCATACTTTTACGGAAATTCAAAAGCACAAGCATGGAAGGAACTGTTATATTTGGGATACTGATTAGGTGTCTACAGTACTGGAGTATTGGATATATGTATCTACTGTCCTCGAGTATTGGTATATGTATATATTCGAGTATATAAGGTTTTAGCTCATTCTTTCTATTTTCTACTCTACTGAAAACGAGTCCAAATAACTTCAAAATAACAGATTATCCATCTAATATTTACAATGCGCACGCATAGTTGGGTTTTGATAATGAATAGATAAGATTACCATAGTGGGATATGCACTGCAGCTCTCTCTTTTGCTTTCATAGCCATGGGCCCAGATAATAGATACTTGCGCTGAATATCTCATGTCCTTCTTTATCCTTACTCCCCCTTTCCATCCTTCCACCATCCCTCTTTCCTCTCCCGCTCAACCCGTCTCTCTCCTCCTCCTCCTCCTCCTCTCTTCCGTTCTCATTCCATCCTTCTTCCTTCCCTCCTCCTCTCCCCCCTCTCCTCCTCCCTCTCTATCCTTCTTCCCTCTCCCCACCCTTCCAGCTCCCCCTTCCACCTCACACATCCCCTTCATCCTCATATTACTTAATCACTCCATCCATCCATCCATCCTATCCATCATCTACCCAATCCTCCATCTACCCAACCCTTCATAACCTAAATACTCAACCTCACCACAAGCAAGCAATATCACAGAGCTATCCTCCACTTCACAATTTTGATTTGATCTGATTCTGTTTATTGAGCAACAGAGGGGACAAATGGAAAAAGAAGCTCAAATAACTAAAGTCATCATCGTCATATCCCGGAGTCACATCAAAGTGTCATAGACTTATCAATTGCTACAGTACACATTCACATTCACATTCAAACTCCATCACATACACACACACGACAATTCATTTTATCAATTTTCATTATGTACTACATATACAGTATTTCCTACAAGTAAAGCAAAAGTAACACACTTTGTGCAGACGAAATGGTAAAAGTGTACACTTTGATATCCTCGTTGGTATGTGGTTAAATCCCTCAATGCTGTCCTTTATGATGAAAGTAAGCCTTCTCAGGACCCAGTGTAATGTATCAATCGCCTACATTTTTGTCCCATCCTGCGCCTTGAAAGTATTCATCTTGTAGAGCCTGTGCACGTTCCTCGCGAGCTGAAAGATAGCTCTCTTCAAGAACTTCTTCACCTGTTACTGATGATATCTCTCTCATACTCCTTTGGTAAATCTTCTTCCTTGGTGACATACGACATAATTGTTGAAGTTGTGGTTGTGGTTGTCGTTGTCGTTGTAGTTTTAGTTGTAGCTGTAGCTGTGTTCAAACGTTGAATGTGTCTGAAGGTTAGAAGAAGTTTCCCCCGATCATACCCCCTCCCCCTATATATGCATACATCCTAGAAAATTGTGCATCTATCCCATCGTACCAAACTCCTTAATGAAAGTGTTTGCGTCCAACTCAAACCCCAAATTAGCGATCGTAAAAGTCGTGAGACCAGCCATTTACCCTAATATGCAACCGTTTATGCAAGTATGAAACAATGTTATGAACCCGTCCGTTATGATGTAGCATACCATGCCATGATGCTCCCGCTATGCTGTCCAAAGAGGAAAGAAAAAGGAAAGTAGTAGTAAACAAGCGATATGTGTGTATTGGAGAAAAGATCTACCCCAAGAATGTGCCCTTTAGCAAGGTTCATCATGGAAGATCTCTTTCCGATACAAACACATCCAAAAGAAAGAGATTACTGCAAAACCAGCAGCCACGGTTGCTATGCCGACACCAAGATTACAATTCGTACCCGTCGAAAAGCTTGAATTTAAAGATCTGTCATATCAGTATTAGGAGTTGCAACTTCAATGCATCCATTGAACCTTCCAGAGCCTGCGCGCGTGATTCCATCATGCTTTGCTTCGACGATTTGCTGCGAATTGGGTGGACCCCAACCAAGAGTCATGTTCCAGGCATTCTCAAGAGTCCTCATTTCGAGATTGCTCATCGTGTTTGTGATTAAACCGAGCAAACTATCGCCTGACTTCATCATCATACTCTCATAGTCATTGATTCTCTTTGTAACTCCAGGAGGTGAGGATGCTCGCTGATTAAAATTATCATTGAGTGCCGATTGATCAAAGTTAAAAGGAAGTCGAATATATCCACAAGACTTGAAAACGAGCTTTTTGAGATCACTTTGCTCTGTAGGTTCAGGTTCATTACTAACTTCCTCACCTTGACGCAAGTCTATCAGTCTGCTACCGGGTGTCAATTGGTCAATGACGTAAGCCCAGGAACCATTGCGAGGTTCATTGAGCCAGTCTGGTTGGGCATTTAGGTTGTTGACGACTACTGGCACCGCAGGCGTTGGTAATGCAGGTGCTGGCTGTCCCGCAAATCCCGCAGGCATCCAAGCGTGAGGTGCAAAGGGGTTGACAATGCCCATGTTTGCAGCCATAGCTTGTGCTAAAGCATTTTGCTGGTGCAAGGCATTATTCGCATGTGGAGTTGGATGCGCTCCAGGGCGAATAGAGGCAGTTAACGAAACTGAATCGAGGGTTAGGCGTTGAAGGTCGCCCCCCTTGAGCTGTTCAATAAATTTCATGAAGATATGTGGACTAAACCAACAATTCTTCAACGACAGATTTTGGATGAAAGGAAGTGATAAGGCCTCTTTCTCCCCAACTCTGTTGACCATATTAATCGACTCTGATACTACAGGAGCAGCAAGCACATGTTGGTTCCGGCAGAAGAGACCGGGAGCATACTCTCCGCCACAAATCCATTCAAAATGTAAGGACTTGATATTCTTACGTTGAGAGATTTGCTTGAGAAGAAGTTGAAAGACACCGATGACAGCCTTAGATGGAAGCAATCTGTTATCCTGAACCCAGCTGGTAGGGAGTTTGATAAGCTCACGCCAATCAGGAATAACGCCTAGCGATAGAAAATCCAAGCTTGGTAGACTATTCCAGAAATCATCGCGGACAAGGTTCGGTAAGTGTGTGTTGGGCAAGCGTGCAATGGTAAGTTTCTTAACGTCGATAAATGTGATTGGATTGTCGATGACGGCGATGGTAAAGGTTTGCATGAATGCTCGTTGAGCCCATTCGAGTTCAAGTAGCATTTCCTTTTGTGCACCAGTAAGCTCGTTCGGCTTTAGAGGATGGTGATTAGGCTTTTGCCTGCTTCCCATAGCCCAGTCGTCGTTATCGTCGTCATCATTTCCCGCAGTATCGTTAGCAAGGGAGATAAGTACATCAGCACCGGTCAAAGCAGATACGGTAGCAGGACCGCCTTCGCCTTGGCCACCGCTCTCATCTTCGTCTTCAGATGAGACTCTATCTTCATCTGCAACTGGACCTCCGTCATCATCATCGTCGTCATCATCTTCCGTTACTGCAGAAGCGCCATTTCTGAAATGATCTCCGAGCATACGAGCAAGACCTTCTTCAAAGTCAGTGTAAGGGAGGGTGGGCGCATGACGACGTCCTCGTCCCTGCAGTGTCATGGTGCTCGCATTTCTAAGAGCTGACCCTGCCTGACCCTCATCAGTGCGAGAATCATCAAGAGACCGATCCAAGAGATCGTTACGATATCCCACTTCCTGTAACATTCGTTGAATAATTGAACGTGTCCCGGTAGGAAATTCTGTTCGAAATGATCGATAATCACGGCGTGAAGCTCGTACACTTTGCTTTGGCTTGGGTTCTGGCACGAATCTCGATGCTCCAAACACTACAGCTTTCTCACCGCGCTGAACAACTCTGTGATTGATATCTGGTCCAGCTAACCATCCCAATCCTCCATCAATAGATAGGCCAAGCTCTTCGGCCGTTTCAAGATATTGAAATGCCTTTGTCATGGTTCGAGTTTCATCAGCCTTCTGTTCAAGACCTTCCAATTGTGCATATCTATTGTACTTTTGGAATGGCCATTTGTAGGAACCCCAGAAAGTGGTGATAGTATCATGATCATGTTTTACAGGAGGTCTGGTCAACTTTGTGACATCAACTTCGAAAGCTACATATAATATTAGCATTTTGTGAAGACCTAAAGATGGTGAATTAACATACACATAGCAAAGTGTTTTATGTGACGACCAAAACCTAACAAATTTTAGTTTAAGACCAACTAACACTCAATCACAGTTATTGATTATATACCTTGAAAAATACGCATGCCCTTGTCCTGTAGCATAATTGAACTCTGGCAAGTGGAAGGCTCGGAAGTGATGCCATAAATCTCTGGCCGAAATGGAACCACTGCATATTTGAATAAATATCCAGAAACATTCGCTTCGAACTCATGATTGACTAGTCGCATGCTTTGTATGGTAGATCGAGGGAGGTGCGCGATGATGAGGTTGAAAATCTCCATGGGGATTTTCTTGGATTCCCAGCCATTTTGACCTATTTTCAGTTAATAAATTGAAGCAAAAGGATGAGTTATTATACGTACTTGTCATCATATATGTTTCTTTGCCTTTACCTTTTGTAGGGAGCATATCGGTCAAAGTTCTTTTAAGCTTACGGCGCTTTGGTGAATTTATGTCCATTATCTGGTTCGACAATATCGACAAGTCCGAGAGAACTAAACTTTAGGATGCGGTCGCAAGGCTGCAATTGATTTGAATAGCACAGCAAAGAGAAGAAGGGGCGACCTTATGTTGTTTGTATTGTGTTGCGCACAATTGTAGGAATTGTTGTGTTCAGAGTAGATCAAAGATCGATGCTCTGTGGTAGTTATGTACCGGTAATGTAATGTACAGCGATAAACTTGAAAGAGCTGTACAAAGTTGAAACTGTGAAATGGAAGGAATTAAAGAGAAGAAAACCAGAGCAATGCCAGAATGTTCACATGAAGACAATCATGAAGAAGACCATGAGATTTTTGTTTTGCTTGTAAGAAGATCCAGTCTGATGAAGAATTATTGATGAAGAGGGCAAGTTATCATTGATGTTGTTCAAGTAACTGGTTGAACTAGGCTGGAGAATCTGCCCCTCGCGTAGCCTTGTCGGATAATGCCTGAGGCCATTATTAAAACTTTGAGCACTTCATGAGCATTCTCGCAACTACTTGCACATACATACAAGTTTGTAAAGAAAGTATGAAGAATAGGAGCTACACTTCTACATTATACATACATTATCTGATCTAAAAGTTTTGAATGATTCTGCGTGCCAATACTCACTTCTTCTTGATCTCCGGTTCAAAGGATGCAAAGAAAGTAGTAGCCTTGCAGAACTGTGCATAAAACATTTCTTTTGCAAGCCCGTTCTAGGCCAAGGGAGGGGGGATCATGCAATGTCTATTTGGTATGAAAGGAGATAGGAAATGTCAACAAAGCTCAATGTTAATCTCTCTTCACAGTGTGCCGAGCCAGAATTATACGCCAACGAGAAAGTACCGAAGTATATAACCTTAAGAATATCTCGAATAGGATATATCTAAATTGAGTACCGGAGTAGCTGGGTACATTGTTCAATTCCAATTCCCGGCAATCAGGAGCGCTCGAAACATCATGCCGAATCAAGCATCGGGCTATCTGTCTATATAGCTAGTATACATTGGTATCTAATATTACGGATGGGTTGTCTTGATTCTTCTTTGTCCTTCTCACCAAATTTCTACCAAGGAATCAATGCACAATCTCAATGCTCCAGCCTAGGGTCTTTAAGCAGATGGAATATGTGCTCTATCAAGCAAGCCATTTGACCATTTCAGTGTCTAAAATCACATCCAGGGTTTTGAACTGGATTCTCCTAAGACTTCTGACCGTACTGTTTGAACTTCTAAGACCAAATTGAACCTAATGCTTCATAGACTGATGGCACCCCAATATTGGTATAATCTACTCCAACAGATCAAAGGAACGACCTTATGAATACAATGTATTTACAGACTCGATATGGGGTTCAACAAACAATAAAAAGTCAGTTCAGGGAGTAGTTATTATGAGATATGGAGGAGCTATAGTCTGGTCCTCTACAAAACAGAAGTCTATATCGCTGTGTATAATGGAGGCAGAGATTATTGCAGCTAATGAAGGTGCAAAAGAACTTGCATGGATGGAGAAACTTGTCACTGATCTGAAGGAACGACCAGAAGTCGAGCCATTCATTCCTACTCTTTACTGTGATAATGAGAGTGGGGTGGGTTGGATGAACGAAAATAAGTTTCACAGCAAGGCAAAGCATATTCAAATCAGATGGCACTATATTCGTGAAGATATGGTCGATACAAAGCAAATGTATATGGTGTGGATCCCAGGAACGGAACAAACGGCGGATATATTCACAAAACAACTTACCTACCCGGCATTTTGCATCCACAGTTTGGGGTTAGGTTTGGATTTTGAAGAGAAGTAAGAGTACTCTTGTACTGCAACATGATAAACTCAAACTCAATCATGGGATAGTCGAACTCCACAGGAGATTAGATATCACGATAATAGCAGGGCTCTGGATCGTTGCAGGAGTTAATGAGGCTCTGATAATTGTATGAAGAGATTACTTCGTAGCATGTACTTCAGGATAATCAAGGTTTTGATCATAGGGGGGATGTTAGAAAGTCATGGGCACTACGGGTATCACGGCACTACCCCTCTTCTATATTCACTACTAGTGTACATCTTGTTTACTTATACGCTCCATAGCATAGCTTAGATTCTGTACCTGAATATAATCTACATACACTTCTGACAGGCGAACAATATGTCAATTCTCATACTTGAAGCGAGTGTGTTTGTGAATAATCTCCAAGACATCCGACGAGTAGTATCCATTCATCAAATGATTTCAGCACATATGCCACCAAGTTCCACCCCTGCACCATTCAAAGTTGCCTCAATTTTATCCTAGAATTTTGTCCCTCCGTTGATGAGCCGAAGCTTGGGGTTCTTGAGATCCTTGATGCATTTCTCTTCAACTCCATACTTGATGGCGAATTCCTAATAGCTGGCAATGATAAAAACATATCACCCGCTGGTCTCTTTCCAGAAACCGTGGCTTCATTACGCTCACCTTTTGATGCTTTAGGCGGTGTATCTGACCGCGGCCCATCTAGAAATGTGTCGTGGGACCATGCAGATTCTAATCCTGGGAGGAATGGCTCAAGCTCGCGAAGTTCGACCCAGGTTATTGTACCTTCGAGCATAGCGATGTATAAGTCTTCAATTCTGCCACATTCGTCAAGGACGGCGCAATGTTTCTTCAAGAATTCAACATCATAATCACTGAAGATCTATCCGTTCTGTTAGTGTCATGTGAAGAAGACACAGATTGTTTGGAAAAGCGACGAAAGCAAGAGCATACTCACCAGCTGTGTAGCTAGTTGTCGAAGCATCGGAAGGCCTCTTACATTTCCAGCATCACAAATCTTAGCCACGAGTGGTTGCCAAGGTCTTCCTCTCAATACTGGCGCAAAAGCAGCATTCACAGCCTCCTCGAAGGAATCACTATTCATGTCGCGCACAACTATTTTTCGATGCAACCCTCGAGAAAGGCATCGTTTGTAAGCTGTCGTGTCCTTCTCGAATGGGAAAGGAAGAGATGACGTAGGCATGAGGGAGATGTGTACAGTCCATGAATGGGTTCCGCACCGATCACCCGAAAGATCTCTTTCCGGGAATTCCTGACCTGATGCACAACCATTTACGGGCATTGTCAAATCTCCCAAAACACCACTCTGCCAGGACTCTGTCGATTCTTTGATCGTGTTCTCTATACTAGTAACAGGAGGTGTAGATGCTTTTCTTCGTCGAGGCCGCTTTGGAGTCATGTAAATCCGTTTCGAGACATTCTCAAGAGCATCGACTCTATCTTCTAATCTCATCGATGCATCGTCGACCTCGATCATCCTAGCATGAATCCCATGGATGTCATCCACTAACCCCTCGATTCGATCATCGTAATATGGTGTACGCTTGTTTAAGAGTTCAATATTCTGCCAAATACCGCCGATACCACGGTGAACACTCCGTATTTCCACCTCGCGTTCTGAGTTTCCCTTTTCCACAAGCTCTTCTAATCGTATGAGCCGATCGAACAAGCCACCTTTCCCTATACGTCCTTCTCGGTCCAGCTCTTCCTCGAGAGTACTAATCCTCAGCTTCATGGCATCGACTTCTTCTCTATCAGGGGATTCTGCGGTTGAAATGTGATATACTGCCTGGTGCCCGCAATGACACGAACTTCCTGGGATGGATCGATTTGATGCAAAACCAACGCACGCACATCGCAACTGCTTTGATTCGGGTTGAAGCAAAATGAACCTGCAACCACCCTTGGGTAGATGTGAATCATCGGTGGGAGCTTTTTCGCAATGGGACTTGAACATGCTCATAGCATCTAGCGCTGTAAGAACTATAATTCTCGAAGAGGAAATTCGACATCAGGGTTTAGTATAGTTTACTACATAAACAATTCGATTCCTTGCTGCCAGAGTGATGGATTACAGAGTTCCGTCAATGCTCATCCGTCGAATGCTAAATCCAATTGTCCTTTACACGTCTCAAGATGTTATTAAAGTGGTTTGGGTTCCATGAGCTGACCAATCTTTCGTAATACCTAAAGAGAGATTCGTTGAAGCGTGCTTCATAAGGTGCAGAACGTTCTAATTTATGTTTGATATTCATTAGGGTGGGGTTATTGGTGAGCAAGCCTGCAAAAGCAAAGGATGTACAGGGGTTCAAAGATAAGCACCCCCAGCCATTAACATGTACAACCAACGCGGGTGAAACGAAATCACCTTGTGGGATTGATCAAACCCCTCATGCGGAACACTCCTGCACTTCAATCATTATGTTCCTGAATGGAACAGAGAGCGAAGATCACATCGTAAGATAGATTTATACAGCGAGGTGGGCATTGTGGGATGCTGGAGACAACCCCACGTTTGTACTAAATATTGCAAGCATCTAGATGAATTATACTAGAGCAAAACGGTGGAGCGGTTCGTCCCGCAATTAGTCTTCTTGGACTTCGAATTTCTTAGGCCTAGACCTTTGATAGTCAGTCTGTACACGTTATTTTCTCTTCTACCTACACAACCAAGCCCATATTATAGGAGGTGATTGAATGAGAGCTACACCACATATATTATCATGAAGGGTCTCTTATCAAGTATGAGACAGCGCGACAAGCCTGTGGTGTAATCTGGGCAGAGGTGACAGGGCTTTAATTTGCAAGCGCATCGATGCCGAAATAGTTGGATCTGATGCACTCCGAAATTCCGGATATTTAGTCACATTGTGACCGATCTGGAGGGTTACAATATACACACGCATGTGAATGATGCGACATCAAGTTTCCCCCTTATACCCTAAAACCTCAAAGCCTATCATTAGGTCCCCTGAGATACCGCAGATCGAATCACGACTTGTGCTACACTGCAGGGAGGAACGTGGGGTCTGCGGCTCATAGCCAGTCCCTCGTCTCTCCGATATCGAATGTTTCTTGGATGGCAATGAAAAATCCCGCAAGAGATAGCAGCTTTGTCCCACACTGGTCAACAATTTACAAATAATGGGCAAGCTTTTGATTGGAGCGTAACCTTCCAAGAGTAAAGTGTATGAGAAGATATTTTCCTGGTACACTGCTTTGAATCGGCAGGTCCGTTGATCGCAATATCTATCTAGGTGCAACAAATTTATCCTGATAAGGTACCCCCCACGCTGTTAAGATGAGATTCTTGTGTGTTGGTCCGTTGTCCGGAGGGCTTGTGGCCAGACCAATTTGAGACATTTGGTCTCATTTGACAACTCACTCCACGTGATTCGGGGCTTCATTTCCCCCAAAACTCCCTTGTTTATTTGATTTGTTGAACATCGAAGATCCTCAAAATATTTAAATATTACTGGCTTCATCTCTCTTTATGCGTTCACGTTGTAGTATCACGTGGCCTAATCTAGATGCCATTACTTTTTTTGGTTGAGTCGAGTGCATTCTACAGAGCACAAATGTCAAGGATTAGATGGCATTCAAATGAACTTTCATTCGAGGAGATTGCGCTACTCAATGTTCATGAATAACTTGATCGTAAGACTGAGAAATTGGCTAAAATGAAAGGGACTCCTGTACGTGTATACACAAGCATTTTCTTTATATATGCACGGGTCATATCTATATTGCCTTTAACCAATATCAGGATGTATCTCTATTCTCCCATTGGCTATTGCTGATAAGCGGGGTAGAAATCACGGGCGGCAAGACCGCAACTGTTCCCCAATCAGTTGATGACTTCTTTGAATGCTACATATTTCATATATAGTTTGGACTTGAGGTCATTCAAACTGAGATAGAACGGTATTTTTGATGTCTTTTCTAAACTTCAATGAGTCAAGTATCTCTATCTCCAATTCTTACTTCGTTGAACGCAGCTTGTGTCTAAGTCAACGATGGGTGAATTGGATGATTTGGTATCTACTCTACTCAGTACTTTCACCAGCGGTATAAGACTGCTCAAAGCTCGGCGCAAAAGTCATCGAAGAAGCAATGAATCGCTCGATACCGATCACGACGAGGAAACTCCTATCATCAAGTCATTTAAGCGGTCTAGATCGGATATCTCTCAAGTACTTCACGTGCAGAAGCTATCAACGCACTCGATAATCTTTCGAAGCGACTTTCAGAGTCTTCTTCATCACTAGCATCCCGAGATACTCTAACTCGAACGAAACGTGATCGTAGGACACGAAACCACAAATCAATTCCAATCGTTTCCACCAAAACTACCGCTCTTGGTCCAGCTACAAAAGATGGTTGGATACGACCGAAATCAAGCAAGAAAGATGTCGAGAAGTCGAAAGCGCAAACTCGGAAAGCTACTATTGCTAAGCCACCAAGCAAAGGAAAGCCAACGCCTTCGCAATCTGTCGATGAAGTAGTAGAAAAGCGAGAGCCAATACCTAGAACAGCAGCAAAAAATAGAAAGTCAGGCATCTCCTTTGCATCGGATAGCACGAAGATGTAAGTATAAGCCATCTATTTTGTTGTTTTATACAAAGAGCCAGAAAGCAAGCTCTTGATTCATTTGAGGTCTGTCTGGATTATTAATCTCGACAAACTCTAGTGGCGAAATTCCAGAATACAGGGTTACTAGATTGCTAGCTGCATCACGCTACAATGGTTCCGAATTTCCTACACCCAAAGCTGTATATCCCTTGGCTCCGTATCAGCATGAGTCTCGAAAGAAGAGTTTTGGTATTGGCAAACTTTTTAAGAGTCGACCTATGGCGTCAGCTCAAGCACATGATAATCAAATATGACGCTAGTCTCATCTCGCGTATCTTATGTCGCAGGTGTATGTCTTGTTCTCTATATTTTACCTTGGTGCTCTGAGCTCTCAATGGACTATGGTAGGGTTTCTATTGATATAGTCTGGATTAAAGTCTAAGTTTTCATGACTTCACAAATAATGAAATCTCTTGTTCTGTTCTAGGTGATCTTAATGTCCTAAGTGAATCCAAGTTCGATGGCTTAGAACACTGCGGTCAGCTCAATGTTCTGATTCCAAACTTGATATCCAAAATGCCATCAATATCAATATCAATATCCCAGGCCAATTTCATATCCCAAACAACATTAATACCTCAAAGAAATCCAAAACCCAAGCACCTCTCATTATTAGACCATAGCTCTGGCCATCAAAATCATTAATCCGCAATACCGCGTTCAAATATTGGGTGCTAAATTAATATTCGGATATTCTCCTTACGCGGGGCTTTCCGCTATATCCTACGGATTCATGTAGCATGTGGAATTTCTATCTCCGTGTATATTGCTAATGTATTCTGCGGAGCAGATAGTATCTAGTAAGATTACTAGATACTGGTTAGTATGAGGAGGATATCAATAAGCTAGGAGGGTTGGTTTGTTTATGTATGTATATGTGATGGTGCTTGTAGCGTTATTTATGTGTTTGAGTTGGAGTAAGTATGCTGATACATATATGTATAACATCTAGTCGAGACACACAGAGGTATGGAAGACGGAGAAGAAGAAGAAGAAGAAGAAGAAGAAGAAGAAGAAGAAGAAAAGAGTAATCATCTGGCTAGCCAGAAATAGATTACATTAAAACAGTAATAGTCTTGCCTAGACACATGGCTTTGAATTTCGTGCAGAGAAGGTTTTATTTTGGGTTCTAGTGATGATGAAACTTTTCATGTATTGTCATTTAGATTTACTATTATTACCGCATAGATAATAGACAATAGATGTCTCTGTTCATGTTGCTAGGTGTCAAATATTTCGTGTTTGCTGTCGAATATAAGATAAATATTTTGTGATGGTTATCATATGCATATGAATTACATAATTAGCTTGAGTCTACTCTACTCTACTCTACTCTACTCTACCTATACATTTTACATACGAAACGGTTAAAGGGTGTAAGGGGTGATATGCAATATATGCTCTTCGTCTTCGGTATGTATGTCCTTGTATTAAAGATGATAAATCAAATCAAATCAGCCTATTATCTATATAGAATAATAGGACAACTCCTGCGGTCCCGCTAGCGCTCTCCTATTAATGAACCAAACTAAAATCTACGTTAGGAGATATTACATGATATTATTCAGGGGAATTCCTCGAAGTATTTAGCTCCTTCTTCCTCTCTGTGTTGAAATTAAACCCCCCTTCGCGTGACGTGGAAGACTCAGATGATTTAAGTGCAAGAAGAGTAAGTGGATTCTGATCGTCATCGGAGGGTCGTCTCTAGTCTCTTGTCTGTAGCACATCTCGATATTCATAATATAATGAATGTATCAAGCGCAATAGGAGAAGACTATATATATATAGGCGTGCTCGCAGCTCCATTTCATAACGCAGAATTCAATATCCTCGGGGCTATTTTGTAAGACAGGAAAAGAATCTGGTTTTATATTATTGTCTATGATATCAATGAAGAAAGCAAAAAGCAGATCGATGTCTTTTTTATAATTCGGATGCACTTTTTATTATATGGTGATACACCCACGGCCCATCGTTAGTATTTAGAGAGATTATAAATCGCATAGAACATTCTCACCGCGGAGAGCAATGCCGATTTCGGCACCAAGCACCAAGCTTGCTTATTCGGTAGAAGTGAATGATTCTAGACAACTCACTTCATTTCGTACTATACATATGAATACTGTGGTATAGAGCTCGAGCTCGAGCGGATCTCGGGAAAGATGAAGTACTTAACGTAAAGTACTATGCTATAATGTATATATGATATGCTCGTATCTTTGCATCGTTAAGTCCATGATAGATTTGCAACACATAAGGTCTTTTTCCGAGGGGACGATCTAATACATCTATAATGTAGAGCAATTACTTACAGGTGGTTTGTCTAAATGACGAAAGGAGCCGGAAGTTACATGAATACTCGAAATGACGGAGAGTAACGATAAAGCCTAAAGTATGTTTCTGGACGAAACTGTATTACTGGACCATAGCGAGTACTGATAACGACGTGGGATGATATACAATAGTGAGAGTCTCTGGTACCTGAGTTATGTCACTTATGTGAGAAAAATGGAAATATCATCGAAATGGTGAATATAAATAATGTACATGTGTGTATATACAAATAATGACATTTGAATCCAACGACAGCGGTAAAGCTACCGGTATCTAGTCCATATGAGAAGAAGGTCAAATATATCAAATATTCGAAGTTCGGCGGGGAATAGAATGGATGGGGAGGAACTGATATTTCAATTCTAGAAAAGAACTTTTCTGTTCATTTTCCGTGGCATTGAAGGTTATTGATGGGCAGAATTTGTTGAAGTACTTGGAGAGAATAAAAGTTCATCTTAAAGACTATTTAAAGACACCAAAGGAATCACTCGATGCAATATTAAGTGGCCATAAATTCACTCGCTACTCACCACTCCAAGAGACAGGAGAGGAAACACATTAGTACTATTCCCAGCATATAACTGCAAATACAAAATTACAAACTATCTCGACAACAAACCTTTTTGAACAATACTACATGAAGAGAGCTCATCCTCTCATCCTCATAAAGAACCAAGACGAGTAACGCTCATTGCACCCCTCGATTTTGAATCGATATCTCCAACTCAAAAGAGGGGGAAAATCAGGGTCCACTTGAAGATGAGCGTTTCAAACGGCTAGAGTAGTAAAATTAGAACTCATGATTGAGAAATATCACATTACACTAGATGCATCACATCACATCATATACGTCTTACCCCTGACCTCGCAGCAATCTAAACACATCCAATACATATATTATGACAAATAGGTTGAAAATGAACCACGTATGTCATAATTGTCATTGACTGGTGGTCAATAGATCGGGTGAAGTGAAATGGTCTAGTCGACGTCCGGAAACGTGTTATATATTAAATGCAAAAGCTAGAATTCAATATATACTTACCCTAACCGAACTAACCTCCTTTAATACTGTATATAGATATAGAGTTTCAACTTCCCCACCCCACTCCACCCATAGACCCTGTACTTCCGCTACTTGTATAATGCAAGAACATTAATCCATAAGAAAGCACATGTGTGGGTTCTTTGTACAGTAGAATACTCTGGGAGATATATACAGTAAGGTAGCTTATTAATCACCAATATTCAACAAGGAATATAACATCTCACAAGACAATTGATGATGGCCGGACGAAAAAGGTAGAGACTACAAACTTAGACATATACTTTCTGGTGCGGATCATAGTGAATATGTATATATATATATGTGTGTGTGTGTGAGCTACTACACTACAGCTCAGTTCAATATACTCGAGTTATATCTGTGCCGGGCCATAGCTCAATATCCCCATTGTGAAATGCCCTACGTTCATTGCGAAATGAGCTAGGTTTCTGAGTGAACTAGCTCATTGCCTAATGAGCTAAGTTCATACGATTCATGAGGGTATTCCGAAATCAACTTAGTATATAGAAAAATAAATTTTACAATAAACTAAATATATTGTACAATGAGCTAATATATACATTAATTTGATCTCTTTATAGTATCAACTCGCCAACGCTTGTTTTTACATATAGGCAAAAGGTCCTCAACCTCGTCGTCGCCCCCATTTTCAACCATATCGTCGTCCCCATTACTACTAGCTTTGAATATTAGATTGAATAATAAAAAGAGTTGATAGATATACAAGAGAACTGAATGTGGGGTGGATCCTTAGGGCATTTGCGAATGAACCTAGTTCATTTCGGAATGCCCTCATGAATCGTATGAACTTAGCTCATTAGGCAATGAGCTAGTTCACTCAGAAACCTAGCTCATTTCGCAATGAACGTAGGGCATTTCACAATGGGGATATTGAGCTATGGCCCGGAACATATCAGATATCAACGAAATTCAGATGTGGCCATGGTGATTGGATAATAATGAATAGTAACAGTAACGGTAACAGTAATGGCGACAAACGATAGAAATTAATGGTGACGGGACTAAGTAAACAAACGAATGTACGTTAACTATATACCAAATCTCCTCCCATCGAAGACCAAATCCTATTCCATCTGCTCTATACTTCATCCACTTGGAATATATATTTAGACCGAACAGGAAATTTCGATATGAATCCTATTTATTCTATATCCAAACTTGAGTATGCAAAAGATATTCTTAAAAGTATATCATATAGATAGAAAGAAAGAAAGAAAGGAAACAAAACCATCATTCCAACATTCCATCATTCACCACCCAGCCTACATAATATAACTAGATACGTAGATACATAGATACCCATTTTCAACTAGTGATAGAGTATAAGTACCACAAGTTGTAAGATTACCAGTAGCAGATAGACATAGACATAGACATGTACATGTATCTCCCTCCACTCAGCACTTAGCACTCTACTCTACATTCTATATACGCGCTCTACCAATACTATCCATTATTATTGTAATCGTAATCGAATTCTTACCTGACACAGTAGGTAGAGATTCAGGAAGGTAATCCCACGATGGGGGTACCTTGAGTTTCTTCAACGAATATCCCATCCATATAGACTCCAGACTTCAGAGTACCCTCCTCCGTAGGCCTCCAAGGGCCTCCACCATAACACCAAAATCACATCATGATACTATATACTTCCTTAGTATCCTTACAAAACCCAAAATCTCAAACCCAAAACCCAAGAGCCCTCCTATCCTATCCTATCCTATCCACGTACGGACACCGGGACATAAGCGCATTTTATTTTCAGATACCTACCTATAAAACAAAATTCTTTTCGATACTAAGTAGATAGAGACTAGATAACCTACTATATAGTGATCACAATCACAATTCACCAATAGGATAGATAGTAAGTAGCTCGATTTCTTTACTACAAGTCTAGAACCGTGTGTATGTATATATGCATATGTATATACATCTCATCTAGACTACTCGTATTATAAAGCCATGCCGTAAATTTGTTATATATCTCAAAATTTAGACTCAGACTCAGACGTAGACTTGGATATATAATTTTATTATCTGTTATGGCTGATGATTCAATTTGAAGTTTTAGAAATATATATAATCAAAGATTTCAATTCCAAATCCAGAACTACAAGTTCTTATACTCGAGTAGATCAATAGATAGCTGAATCTTGGACACTCTCCCTACCTTGAGTTCATCGAACCAACAGAAATTATTTGTTGTATATCTACTAGAGTACAAATCATGGGTTGATAAATGCTGATTCCCCATCATGAATACCAGCCAAGCCTAGAGAAGAAATATAAAAATATATGTTTCCCAACATTACCATTATTAACAGGTCTTGGAAATTTATGTAGATATACGAGTAGATAATACAACACAACGGATTTTGGCCCTGGGAAAGAAAGCGCCTCTTTATTGGTAACTTCAATTTTTAACATTTTTACCCTTCATTCTCCGCTCTTCGATTTACGAGTACTACCCCCTCAGCTTGAGACTTCAGTCAGCCTTGGATAAACAGTAAAGAATGTAAGGTAAGGGATCCTAAATACCGATCCATGGCAAATATCTGATATTCTTACTCTTTTACGAGTATGATACGATACATAGACTTATTGCACAAAGTATACCTACTTACTGTAAAGGCAGAAACACTTATATAGGAACAGCTGCTGGAGATAACGAAAAGCCGATAGGTATTTGACTGGGGGAATGTTTCGATGGTTAAATTTAGTCAATGAATACGGACTTCAATTGAAGTGAAGAATTCTCTGGAGCGGAAGAAAAATGGGAGTCGGGAGAGGAAATTCAAAAGCGTTTGAACTATTGATGTAACCGGCGTACTACTTAGCACGCAAAGCATTGAATTCCCGCCCGAATGTATTTTTGATCTAGTCGAGGAGGGAACTGGCTCAGGAACTTTCCATAGATTGGTGTATCTGATATGGTTATTCAAGAGTCCGATGAAAGAATATGAGAGATCAGATGCATGCATGCAATCAAACAAAAATCTGGCCTGCTTCACCGAAATTTCGTTACCTGGGTAGACATGAACCTCAAGAAAAAGTGAGTCTAGAGCGGTTCCTATAGCAAGTTGGTGGTACCAAGACCGAAGATCATGTATCAAGTCGATAATTCCAACCAACCAGTCAGAATATACTCCAGTATATTTTCGTTTTCGTAGTCTCGCTTACACTCCAGGAGGAGTTCAAAGAGATCCCTACCTTGATTGTCCTACGGATGAATGGAAGATGGCAGATTAATCGGCGATTAGATAAGATCATCGTGTCACTCGAGAGCTGAAGTTATCCTCTCCGAGATGTGTGAGCTCAGAGAACGAGCCCTCTGTCCACTTCAGCTTCTATTCCCCGGCTCAGCGTATGAGGATGCAAACAGATGAATGAGAATTGAAACCGATTACGACGAGAGTTCAGGCCGATGACTGAGGATCCAAACCCTTGGTCTTTAAGATGAAAACTCCAAAAACCTCAATAGGGGAGGATATTTTAAGTTCAACCAGAGACCTGGAGCGGGAACACAACAGACTCGGACATTTAAAATAATACTCAAAGATGAAGCTGATCATCATCTGATAAAAATGTTCTCGACTTTCGACCCCATAATACTAGAAATCAGATAAATGTGAAACCAAAAGTGCGGGTGGAAGAGGTAGCTAGATAAATCATGGTTTGAATTGATATGAATGAATGGAAGGAGAATACAGACACGAGGAAGGAATATTGTAAAGACATCATGCCGTAAAAATGTTTGTGAAACTTAAATATATGAAGAAAACAATGCATGGTATGGTTGGAGTTAGCTAGTTGGAGTGTATGGTATGGTATGGCAGAAGGTATGGTGACTTTACTCTGTAAGCGCTGTCAACTTTCTCGTGGTCATACTGGTTGGTTCATGAGGCACCGAGAAAATAACGATGGAATCATTAGTACACATTTTCAGAATTTGGCAAGTAAATCTCATCATGGATTCTAAGAGGAGAACTCATAATACAAACTTTCCCATACCGTTATAATCTTTAATGTATCTCAGTAACTCTGGGGTACATACTTAATGTATCTTAGTATATCTGGGGTACATCATGCTTCACTCTAGAAGGATATCCCGAGAAGGATAGTTTGCAAGGCTTGACGAATACCAAGTCTTGGAAATTTGATAACCAATGGTGTGAAGTACAAGGCGTTCTTGTTCACTCTTGGATGCAATGCTCATCGGCGACACGGTAAGCTTACAATGCGCAGGAAATTGTTTTCGCGAAGAAATATGGCTGAGTATACTCATATACAGTATGTATGATGATGGTTGGACAACATGAAAGTTTCAGCCATAAAGGATCATCTTACTCATTCCGTATATGTTATCCAGTTCCAATTTGTGAATTGATTGCCATCGACAGGCTGATGAATTTGATTGATTGTTGGTAAAGAAGTCGGTGAGGATTTCGTCGTCGTTGATGATGTTATGTTGTTATTGTTGTTGTTGTTTCGAATTCTTGATGTGATGTTCATTTGAGTGGAATGAAGTGGATGGATATCAAGAGAAAAAGAAAAGGAGTCTAAGCCGTATTTAGTCATTTTTCAATTGGTAAGGCTGCATATGTTTTAATTTCCATAATTTTGGCGAATCAGATCCACAGCTGCAATCTAATCTTATAATATACCAAATCGGGAATATACTAAAATATTAACTATTGATTGGATCGGCCAAGTCCCATAGATCGGTTAAAAGGGGATTTAACTGATCATCCGGCTCACATCAAATAATTCGGACATTCAACATCAACATCAATATCAAAAGCTTGTGATATATATATATATGGAACAATCCATTTCACATGGTCTGGTCCGGCAATGAACTGACTCCACCTTCTATCTATCTCATCTGATCTCATCTCATCGTCTTCGTCATCGTCATCGATGTTAGTGTTTCTTTACGAGAAAAGGAAAAGAAAAGAAGCCATACAAGATGCTTTACCAGACTTTTAATAACATGAACGTTTTGATGCAACGCTTTATATCATGGTCATGGTCAATACTTTCGTCCAATCAATCATTCTCGCACGGGTAGTTCTTGGATCAAATCCATATGAATATAGCAAAAGAAAAAACCCCACATCATATCACTTACTGGCATCAACCTTAAAGAATCTTTTCCCAATCAAAAATGATCGCCGACATCAATTGAATATAGTAGTGAAACCGATAATAATGAAAGAAAGAAAGAAAGAAAGAAAGAAAGAAAGAAAGAAAGAAAAAAGATTCAGACTTTTGATATGATCTA